GATCGTGGAGTGACTTAGAAATACTTCACAATAGGGCACAGATAAGATGTACGAACGCTTACTCTCGGAGGTTTTCTCTATGGTTGCGTATGGCAGCCAGCATGAGGCCTCCAGTCGCGCATGGTAGGTACAACTCGTCGGTGTGGAATCTGTCGAGGGATGAGCAGCAGGTGCTTAGTGCACAGTTAGTCAAGAATGAACCCGTGACGTAGAACCATGTTCCAGCTAGCATATTTCTCGAAGTCTATGATGGTCCGTGTCGAGTCATTCTCGGGTCATTTTTCATCGGGTCAACTTGCGTCCATCCTTGAACCGGCAATATGAAAAACACAGTGACGTGCTTTACAGGCCATCATCCCAGAAAATATGTGGTAATCTGATATGCATCCTCTGATGTCAGCGACACGGTCTACGTTTCATGGTGCATGTGGCATGACATTTGAGTAGTGCGCATCTCGCGCACTACTCAACATCCAATAGGTAGCACTCTGATCATACAATGACACATACAATGCGAGGTCGGAGACCTCACGATGGCTAAAATGAGAGATTCCTAGTGTGCAAAGACCTTCCTGATGGAGTGGTCACCTCAGTATGTACCACACGAGTCAAGGTGTATTTTTCTTCAACCCATTNAAATTCCTCACCAAAGAAGGGAAAGCACCTAAGGAGATTCATGAACGTATGTCTAACGTTTATGGTGTGTCTTCGCCTTCTTATTACCATGTTAAATTTTGGAGCAAGCAGTTTAAGTGGGGAAGAGAGTCAATTGAAGATGACCCAAGGTCGGGGCGCCCTGTGGAGGCTTCTGATCAGGAAATGTGTGACAAATTGGAGAGTGCGATACTGGAGGATCGTCGCACCAAAGTCTCTGTTTTAGCTCATGAACTGGGGATTTCAGAGGGCACAGTGATTCACATTATTCATGAAAAATTACACATGTCCAAAGTCAGTTCTCGATGGGTCCCAAGAATGCTGACTCCAGCTCAGAAGAACAGATCTGACATCTGCAAGGAAAACTTGGAGTTTTCTAAACAATTCGGGGAAATTTTTTTTCCCAGAATAGTAACTGGTGATGAAACTTAGGTTCATCACTGGGATCCAGAAACCAAGAAGGAGTCCATGCAGTGGAAGCACAAGGGATCGCCAACGCCTCGCAAATTTCGTGTTCAGAAATCTGCAGGAAAGATTATGGCCACTGTGTTTTGGGACGGCGAGGGACTACTGCTGCTTGAGTTCATGACAGACAAGTGTACAATCACTGGCGATTCCTACGCTACTACCATGAAAAATTTACACGATGCTATCAAGGAAAAACGCAGAGTAAAGTTGTCCTTCTCCATGACAACGCGCCCGTCCACAAATCATGGAAAGTTCAGGCAGTAGTGAGGGAGTGTGGCTCAACCATCCTCCCTACAGCCCGGATCTGGCTCCTAGTGACTATTTTCTGTTCAGACAATTGAAAAAATTTTTGCGGGGGAAAAGATTTTCATGCAATGAAGAGCTGAAAGTTGCCGTTTCTGTTTGGCTTGATGGACAAGAAGTTGACTTCTATTCCCAGAGAATAAAATCCTTGGAATCAAAGTGGAATAAGTGTGTTGAGTTAAAAGGTGACTACATTAAAAAATAAAGTGTTATTTTTCCCCTCGGATGTTTCTTTCTTATTCAGGTAGATAACTTATTGAGTGACCCTCGTATCTCAATTGATCATGCAGCTTGGTTTGAAAGTCAAAACCCTGAATGAGAAGGGGTCTGTCCTTATATATGAAACATCTGAAATCGACTAAGGGAAATTCATTGAATTATATGGTAGTTATCTTTTTTTTAAGGAAATGTAGCCTATTTCTCATCTTACACTTAAAGACGGACACCATAAATGTTAGACATACGTTCATGAATCTCCTTAGATGCTCTCCCTTCTTTGGTGAGGAATTTGATCACGGAACGATGTTCGACTTTCGTCAAATCCATGAAAAGAAAAGAAATCTAATGCGCTCCCACTTTGAACGGACTTGAGCCACTAAGCTGGTATAGTGGTGGGGCACTCACAAGACCTGTCGAGACATGTCACAGCAGGCAGAGGCCTGTTGCTCATCCCTTTCATATTCAGGTAGATAACTTATTGAGTGGCCCTCGTAATAGGAGTACGTGGCCATGCAAAAGATACCAAAAGTATTGTTAAGTGGCAATGATTTTTTGTAATACTAATGTAACTGTTCCTTCTAATCAAAATGAACGAATGAATGGAGGCTGACGCATGATTGCAGGTAGAAGAGATGAAACTACAGTTGCCAGGTACGAATGCGGACCGTTCACTGGCATACACACCAGGATTTCACAGGGATTCACATGAAGAAATATCCTCTGGCGCGTCACGTGGATTCCACGTGACGCCAACTAAAAGACTTCTATCGCAATCAACGCAGGTACGGATTTTCTGTTCTCTTATAAGTAAGGCTGTACCGATGGGCACATTGTGCCGATGGATCGATAGCAATTATAATCTTATTTTAATAGGCCGATGCCAATTGTAACAAAGATAAAGAGCCTTGATATCAAGTATTTACTAAATGAGGCCGATTAGAATAGCCGAGCTTTCATATTTTCTTGGTCTGTCATGACCGCTATTTGGGAAATTCCCATGCATCAACCGAAACTTTTGATGGTCCATCGAGACATCTAGGGGGAGAAAGGGACGAGGCAACAAACGCTGCTGTCGTGGGCTTCTTTCCTTGTTGACGGAACGAATCCCGTTATTGATCCAAGAGTGGCCTTTTTGAAATTCAAACGTAATTCCTTCACAATTCAGTAGGACAGAACCACTAAAATCGTTTTGAAGGGAAATTCGGGTGGATGGGGGGAAGAGATAGAGACGACCCAATGTTATTGATTCGAAATGTAGCTGTTCAAAATTCCAACAATGTGGATGTGTCCTATTTGAACGCAACGAGACTGAAGTCAATTAACCTCATCTAAGAAGATGCGAAAGTTTCACTGGTGACAGCAAGTAGTAAAAAAAGGTGAAAATCATGTTTCATATTATAATTCAATGGATTCCTGAACGATTATCATTCCTATTCCGGCGGAGAGGTCAGCAAATTTTCACCCTACCAATTCCATCAGCCAAATGAAAGTAGATGTGTGCGTAAAATTCTTTTTGGAACAGTGTTTGAATCGCTCGAAATACGTCAATATTGTCATCAGGTGCAAATTTTATTTCCACAAAATAAATTAATACTCGCACTGCTATTACCGACGACTTTTTATGAGCTATATTCTTTCAACATACAAAGTCAGAGCAGAAACTTTTTGCGATGGTACTTTCTTTTCTGAGGAATAATATTAGCTGCGCGCTGAAATTCCTGACGCGTCGGCAACGTGTCCTTTCTGCATTATATCATTAAGTTAGGTAAAACCATTTTTCAAAGGCTTTCCTTTTCTTCGGCCTCAATCTCAACCTCAACCGTCTTCCCCACAGGACTCACTAACGTTAGGCCTGGGCCTACCAATTTTTTTGCTCAAAGGACCCAAGTATCACACCTACGGTGAATCAACGTTGACTAAACGTTATTGCGTCAACAGAGCTAAAGTAGAAACCACGTGAGGCTGTCAACATTAATTCTATATTTAAAGTTCATTTTCATCAACACTTGAATCAACGCTCACATCAACGGTATATGAACATCGAGTCAATGTTCAACTGCAACATTGTAACATTGATTCAACATTTCCTTATCAACGTTGACTCTATATTGAAAATCCATTTTCTTCAATATCGAAGAATTGTTGAATCCATGATGGTTCAACGTTGGTTTTACGTGTTAAATAGATATAAGAGAATGGTGCACGTGATCCGATATCCTAAAGCCCTTACGAAAATGCCTTATAAGATTCCGATATATACCTTTAGGATTACTGCATGTACAGTATATAGGATTCCTATAGGAACATATAGAAATCCTATAGGTTCCTATAGAGCCTATAGAGAACCCTATATCTATTTCTATATCGGGTTCTGTTTGGGACCCATAGGGACCCATTTGGGATCCGTATAGAACCTATGGGGTTCCCCATAGGACCTGTAGGGTTTGCAAAGGACCCATGGGGTTATCTATACGGCCTATAGGATTCCTAATAGGATCTATATGTCTCCCTTTAGAACCTATAGGACCTATAGGGTTCCCTATAGGGCCTATAGGGAACCCTAGAGGCCAATAAGGTTCCATTTGAAGTTCTCCTCTAGGCCACTAGATGGATGTACACGGTTTCTCGCATTTCTCAAAGTATTGTATAAATATCAATACATCAGAGTGCCCTCCTCTTACTCAAGGAATCATCTCTCACAAGAGAATTTTGTACATCCCCAAATTCTCGCCTTACTTCATTGTAGAAATCAATTAACGTCGACACATTCTTATTTGTCATCCGCATCTTCCAGATAGAATCATGGAGTCCAGGCTAGAAATATGCCCCTTTTCTCTATGAAAACCACGTACGAGATAAAGTAGACTTCATTTGAAAGGAGTTTCAGTAAAGAGACGTGTTCGTAGGTTTTGTCTGCCGTTTCCTTAGGTTGAGAGAAAAATTATCCTTCTCTCTACCGAAGGAAGTGGACGCGCTATCCTGCGGAATCCAGCGACATATGTGAGCCTGGACAGTACTAGTTTTAGTAATGCAAGTGCCCCTACTATGGGAAAACCCCTATAATCGGTAATTGATTTACACCAAAATGATGCGCCAATATTGACCCCAGTTGCCTTTCCCGTCGTAATGTCTGGGTTTCGAAACTTAAAAAATCTTCCCCGAATCCTATAGGTCAGGCGTCCTATGCGACCCTATAGGGATAATATAGGATCCTGTAGATTTTTCGTGTTTGAGAATCCTATAGGAAAGTCTATAGGTTTCATATAAGAAAGAACTATTGGTTTCTTATAGGATATTTCCGTAAGGGAGGATATGGAAGAATCCTGAAGGGCTTGATTTTCTAAATCCAGGTGGACATGTCACACGAAGTTGGTTCCCCAATCCGTCCACCATACACGATGGTAAAGGAAGAGAATCGTCGGAGTTTCGGAAACTTGTCTGCCTCTGCCAGCAATGTCAAGGAAGTGTGGAAGGAAGACATCTCAGACATTTACCAGAAACCTAAACCAGAGAAAATAATTTTTAACGCTCCTGGAATGCGGGCGACGACCCTGGCCGAGAATATGAAAGCCTCATCGACGATGGTTGAGAAGGGGACTGAAGGAAATCTAAAAGTCTATCAGCTGCCGACATCTGCGATCGTGGTAGACAGGAAGGTGGGAATAGGGATGTATAAAGTGGGACCGCCTTTCTTGACGAGAAGGGACGAGAAGCAATGAAGCCTTCATCGAGGAGAAGAAAAAGTCTATAGAGTCCTTCCTTGGCAATTCCTCCTTTGGAAATGAGTGCTTTGTCTGGAGTTTTCGTCCTTCCTAAGGGTTTTTCTTTCCCGTCTGAAAAAGAACAGAGTTGGGAAGTTCACTTTGACGTCAATGCACTGTGATGAATTCATGAAACCGTTAATGCAAAAATGATATGAGAATATAATGTCGTCCAGTCGTATCTTTTATGCATTAGGCACACACAACAGATTACGGGTTTCCAAACCTTCTTGTACTCGAATTGAACATCGAAGTGTCCAAGGGTCGCGACTGACTCTGGAAAGCGCTGCCATAGATATATATAATCAAGACTCCGTTTCTAGAATTTCAGTTCATTGGGAGCTTTGTAGGCTTTTTGCGTGCGTGAATGCGCTTTCTTAATTTTCTTTTATAAAGCAGATAGAAACATCTTGCATCTAGTATTTCCATATCGGCCTTGGAGAGTTCCATATCAGCTTGAACAGTACTTGCCGTCATGAAGGCGTTATGGAATGAAATGTAGTAAGCCAATTTTTACCATATTTTTTAATTTCTCTGGAATCAACTTTCTTCCATGGGAAGTTCTGGATGAGCAAGGTTTGTTTGAGGCTCATCTGCTTTATAACAAGAATTGCCTGGACTAAGAAACATCTTCAAATAGTGAGGACTCAGTCACTGCCCATGCACTTCAATAGGAAAAAATGACAGTTCAAATTTTTTTAAATAGTCCCTGTTTTGCAGAGGGTATGAAAAAAAAGCCTTAGGAGAAATACGCTAAGGGCCGATTGCATGAACGATGTTTATTTTAGACATTGACTATCGATAGTAATTGTTTAAACATTGTCTACGAAAACATCGGTTAACCGCTGTCTACTTTCAATTGCGTGAACGATCCCTAAGCCA